GAAGTAGGTCATAACCTGAGTTGCATATTAGAATCACCTGAGATAGCTTTAAAAATTCCGACACCCAGGCTACATCCAGACCAATTAAATCAGATTTTTTGGGCAAGGCACCTATACCTCCACCTTTTTAAAGTCCACCAGTGATACCAATGCACAGTCAAGGTTGTGGACTACTGCCCTAGGTGAAGGTGCATCCAGAGTCAGGTCTATAAAGTTTTCTGCCCTTCCCCATTTGAACATTTACTTCTAGTGCTAACCTAATAAGATGTGGACTTAATCTTGTAAGGAATTTCCTTACATCGGGATTATAACTTATTATTTTGGTATCTCCAGTGCCCTATCTGGTACATAGCAGGGGCTTAGTGGTCATTTTCTGAAATAAATTCAAATAAATGAAACTGAATGAATCAATATGCAGGTAAATTTTTAATTTCCCCAAGCCCTAAAAATTCCATTGAGTTCAACAAATCTATATGGCCCCTAGGCACAATGTCAGGCTGTGAGAGGTACAGAAATAAACAAAATACAACCCTTCTCTTCAAGTGTTCATGATATGGTAGGGAAGGTAGATATGGACAAAGGTATTTTATAATCAAGCAGAAAATGATAAGAGTTCAGAAAGTAAATAGCAGAAAAATTAATTCTGAATAGCAGGACCAAGGAAGGCATTGCTGGGGACTCAGTGTCTGAGGTTAGCCTTGAAGTACCGCTGGGACTTACCCGGGAGGAAATCGGGAAAATGGGCAGGTGGGGCATAGGACACTTCTGCACAGAATAAGCTAAGTTGGATGACCTTCCTCTGACCTTCACGCAAGGCTGTAGGGCAGATATTAAGGGCTCCTTTTCTTTCTAACTTCCTTGTTATTGCTCTCATTTTTCAAGTATTTTGCCTCTGGTTTATTAATTCTACCTCTTGGTGCCTCACCTGATTTCTTCTAGGAAAAGCTTCTCATTAGCATTTCTATAGGGAGCACCTGCTACCCTATGTATCCCTATTATCTGATGGCCAGGGCAATGGGGTTGACTGGCAGAGGAATTTTAATCCCCTCCTTATGACTCCTCTGTTTGCTAATTTAGAACGCCAGGTCTAAAGTCACAAATGGTTTCCCAGTGCAGTTCACCCTTAACATTAAAAATGGAAATAAAGATATGCTTCTCAATTTTATAATATCATCTATGTAAAATGAATGTATTAAAAATTAATCAACCTCATGATTGTGAATAATTCTAAAGATACCTCCGATACTACTTGAATGCAAAAATCCCAGGCTAGTATGAACGGATTATGAATTAGATGAACTATTTTTTTTTTTATTTGAGACAGTGTCTCACTCTGTTGGACCCAGCTAGAGTGCAGTGGCATCATCATAGCTCACTGCAACCTCAAATTCTCAAACTCCTGGGCTCAAGCAATCCTCCTGCCTCAGCCTCCCAAGTAGCTGGGACTACAGGTATGTGCCACCACACCCAGCTAATTTTTCTATTTTTTATAGAGACGGGGGCTTCTCACACTCGCTCAGGCTGGTCTCGAACTCTTGGCCTCAAGAGATCCTCTCACCTCGGCCTCCCAGAGTGCTAGGATAACAGGCGTGAGCCACCACACCCAGCCACAGATGAACTGTTGAATAGGGAAGTTTTCTGAAAGCCGTAGTGTCAAAGGATATCTTATGTGTATTGTAGGGGAAAATCAATTAGCATGCTTAGGATTCTGAATGTGGAATGTATTAATATATTTTACATTACATATGAATATATTAAGCTGATGGATATGTGTCTTTCTCCAAGTGAATTGCTCACTTTGATGTCATGCGACAGATGTCATTTGTAAAGCCCATGAGATGAACCAGTCACTATGATATAAACATGCCATGATTTATGTAGAGTGGCAGGAGAAAAGGTTTGTAAATCAAATCATCATTGAAATGGAGTCCAACTTGGCTTCTAAGGTGATGTCAATAAGCTCATCTACGGTGGGCATGGGGCATACCTAAATTCAGGAGATAGCCAGAATCATAGCAAGGAAAAGAATGGAAGACAGTAGGGAAGGAAAATCAATGTTCTAGACAAGGCTATAATTACCAAGCATTTTTTCTTTACAGTGTATTTTTTTTTTTTTTTGAGACAGAGTCTCACTCTGTTGCCTGTGCTGGAGTGCAGTGGCATCTTCACAGTTCACAGCAACCTCAAACTCCTGGGCTCAAGCAATCCTCCTGCTTCAGCCTCCCAAGTGACTAGAACTACAGGTACACACCACCATGCACAGCTAACTTTTTCTATTTTTGGTAGAGATGGGGTTTCACTCTTACTCAGACTGCTTTGAACTCCTGATCACAGGCAACCTCCTGCCTCGGCCTCCCAGAGTGCTAGGATTACAGGCATGGGCCCCCATGCATGGTCTACAGTGTATCTAACTTATTGAACATCTTATTTCTTCATATCTATTTTCACCCAAAGTACATTGCCCTATTATTAGTTAATTTCTTTTTCTGGAACCAAAAATAGTGCTAAATTTCACATCAAATTCGTAATACACTTAAATTGTCCATTAAAGAAATTGATGTTTCTTAGCAACACTCATTATCTTAATGTTCAAAACCCTTCTGACTATATGCAAAATGGTACTGCTGGCCCCAAAGTCATAGGTATAATCACATTTTACAGAGGACCCGAAATAAAAAAAATTTGTTAGGTGTTCAAAGATTTTTGGGGGACAGATTGATAGAATTCTGATAGTTGCTAAAAATAATCATTCTCATCAGCTATGAAAGCACAGCATTCTTCTACCCAATCCAATCATTTCCAGTATGTGTGCAATTCAAACGGTGAATCATGACATGCTTACGGCATAGTTAAGGTGTTGTTATATCAACCCCAAATTTGGAGTGAGTTATAGCTAAAAGATGTGGTCATTCCTTGACTATCTGGTCAATCACCCCTGAACAAAGCAAGTCCTGCCAACTTGGAAACATAAACGGAATAGGATCACTCAAGGAGGCTCAAGAATCTGAAATCTCTCTTGATTGGCATTGACTATATGGAGGTGAGGAGAGATAGCTCCTGCCTGGTAGATGATAAGGTTCCACCTGCCACTGGGTGATAGAATGGGAGTAGGAAGATAAACAGGCCAGGCTAGGAATCCATGATGTCGGGCCAACCTTAGAGTTCTCAAGAAATGAAGTAGGGCCTCGTAAACTAGAACCAGAAAACTACATCTTTTTTTTTATGCCTCTTGCTTGTTTGCTTCCTCTTTTGTTTTGATCCTCCTTTGGTAGCAGCATAAAAATATGGTGAAAATTTCACCTCCTTGTGGCTATCCAAGGAAAAGGATATGTGTCCTTGCTTGATACAGATCTTTAAAAGGAAGTAGTGTGCTCCTGGGGGGCCAGTGTGGTGGTGATAGCAATAAACTAAGAGAGATGCCAAGAAGGAAATGGAATTCAGGAAGATGGGACATGCTGGGCTGGGAGGCAGATTCTGTCTTAACAAGAGAGGATGTCTGCATATGCTAGTCTTTCCTCAGCATGTGAGGACGTATTTGTCATGTTCACTGGAAAAGCACATTAGTTCAACATGAGGCTGCATACAGGATCTTGGCCAAGGACATTAACTCTGCATTCCTTCCCCATCGCCACACCCTCCTGCAGGAAGGAGGCAACTAACTGGCTGTGGCGTTGATGAAGGAGCCCATAAGCCACATTTCGAACACCTCTAGCTCAGTTACTAATCATACACATCTTCCCCAGAGACTCCAAACCCAATGTTCCATGTTCTGAGTCAACTGTGATCTGCTAGCTACGTGCTATTGATTGAAACATAAGGGCAGGATTGACAGTCAGCTAAACATTCAGAAATATATATTGGATGGATGAAGGGCAAGAAAGCAGACCGGAAAGGCAAGGCTGCAGCCGAGGGAAAATAGAAGGAAAGAGAGAGCGATAGATTTCCATGCTTAAAGGCATTCATTTACGAGGAATTGAATGTACTAGAGAGGGAGCGCTTTGTGGCAAGAGAATGAAAAGCGCATCTGGAGAACATGAAGGGAAGGAGAGAAAGGAGATGCCTCAGTGGGAAGAAGGCTGGAGGCATGTAGAAAGTGGAAATCAGAATAATGAGGCATCCCGTAGAAGGTAGGAATGGAACCGAGACATACTGATTACCACTACGTGCCAGGCGTGAACTGTTCTCCTGAATCAGCTCATTGAATCCTCACAACGTCTAGCACAGTGCTTGGCATATATTATAGTAGCTACTCAAAAATATGTTGAATATTTAATATTAAATCAATAAATGAGTGAATAATCCCAAGAGATATCTATTATCAATTACATCTTACAGATAAGAATCTGAGGCCCAAAAAGATTAAGAAACTTGCCCAATGTGTCACAGCTAGTAAGAAGCACAAGGAAAATGACTTCAAAGCCCCAGTGGAAGGAGGGGGTGATTTGTAAGGATTCTTCAGGTAATCTAGAAAAGGTGGTGGTCCTTGGGCATTCCCAGGGACTGAGCGAGGGAGCGAAGAATGAAGGGCCAAGTGAAGAGGGCTGGGGAGGAGGGGGAGAGGCCACTTGGAAAGAATTCTTCTTCTAGAAGGACGAGGACCCTGCTGGAAGGCACCAAGGCGGCTAAGTGACACCTAAGCCAGCAAGGGGCAGCGTCCCCCAGTGCAGCGTCGGGTGGGGCAGGATGGAAGCACAGCCTGTGTGGAGATTGCGAAGGCTCTCTGTTGGGCGGGCAGGGATCTGAGGTGGTGCAGTGATGGGGAAAAGGTGGCTAAAGTGGTAAAGTCAAAGGGCTGGGCAGGCTGGGTTGGATGATACGGCGTTCACATAGGTCCGAGCAGAAGAGAAGTCTGCGACGGGAGGTTGCCTGGGATGCGGCTGGGGAGAGGGTGTGGTCTGGGACTGAACGGGAGGCTGAATGTGAGGCCTGCGCTGGGGCGAATGAGCCCTGGGCAGTCCGCGGGAGAGGGTACGGGTGACTGGTCTCGTCGCGCGTCTCACCTGTAGGAGCTGCTCACCGCACTCGCCGCCTCCTCTCGGATTTGCCGGTTGAGGGCGTCCGCCGCTGCGCGCCCCTTGCCAGCCTCGGGGCCCGTGGCCTGGACCTGGGCCTGGGCGGTGGGCAGCGGCGTCTGCTCGTGCCCCAGCCCCTCGGCGCGTCGCACCATCCAGGCTGGCCCGGCCTTCCTGCGTGTGTCGCGCTCGTCCCCACCAGACGCCTTTCCGGCTGCCAGGCCCCCTGCTCCAGCTGGGGCCGCCTCCTGCTCCGGGGCCTCCGCGGCGGCCTGCACTGGCCAGCGCTCCTGGCTCTGCGGCCGGCGCCTGGGAGCACTGAAAATAGGCGCCGAAGCCTGGGAGGACGCTGGAATCTGCACGGGCTTGGGGATCCACGGGTGGTCCCCGCGGCGCGGCAGTGGCCAGGCACGGAAATCCTTCTGGTACTGGGTCTCGCGCTCGAAGGGCGCGTCGGAGGGCTGGTACTCGCTGCGCGGCCGGCAACTGGGCTCGGGCCGCTGCACCTTCCAGGCGCGGTAGTCCTGCCGCATCACCGAGTCCGCGGGGCCCGCGCTGGAGGTGGAGCCGGAGACCAGGCCCGGGCCCGGCCCACTCCGGCCGGGGGCCACCGCCGCCTCGCGTTCTCCGCTAGGCCCGGGCGCCGGCCCTGTTGCCCGGGCAACTGCATCCAACTCGCCCTGGGCTGGCTGCGTCTCTATGGCAACCGCGCGCGCCGAGGGGGGCGCGAGAGCCGGCTGCGCCTGCTGCTGTTGCGGCGGCGGTGGCTGCGGCGGGGCGCCAGGGTGCTCGGTGGCCTCTGAGTACTTGGTGAAAACCAGCGGCACGGCGATGTCTGCCTTGTCCAGCTGGTTCCAGAAGCGGGCGATGCAGCAGGCCCGTGTGATGCACGGCCACGCCATGGTGCTGACTGCAAAGCTGGCCCTCCCTCTTTCTTTCTGTGGCTCTAAAGCAAGTCTCTAATCTTCCTTCAGCCTCCGACCCCGACCGCCCAGTGCGGTTCCCACCGTTTTCTCCCACCACCGATAGCCTGAGCTACTTCGCCCTCCTCCCTCGGAGAGCACCTGGCAGAGCTATCGCTAGGATAGTCTGTAAAGTCTCTCGATTACCGGCTATCTGCAGCCCGGGAGCGTAGTCTGCCGCGGACGCCGAAGGGCGAGAGGCACAGCGTCCCCGAGTCCCCGGCGAGGCTGTCTGGGACGCGCCCCTCCCTGCGGCAGCGGTGGCGCGCAGACCCCGGCCAGGCGAGGAGAGGCGAGGGGAGGTGGCCGCAGGCTTAAGCCATGGCGCACAGGAGGGGCCGGGCGGTGTGGCCGCGGGATCCGCGGACGCTGCCGAATTCTCCTTCCCGACGGCGTCTGGTCGCAGCGGGTCACCTAGCAGAGCCCGGAGGTCGTCACTACCAGCGGAGACCAAGCATTGCTGCCTCCGCCGCTTCTGCTGCTGGGAAGGGGCCCCACCCTATTCTGCAGCTCTGGGTCTCCGCCGCTGCCGGCGATGATGCTGCAGCCCCTGCCGCCGCCGCCGCCGCCTCTGCTGCAGGGAAGCGGCCCCACCCTTTTCTGCCGCTCAGCGCGAAGGGGGCGGGGGGGAAATCCAGGAAAGATGCTGAGAGAAAGCGCGCTGCAGAAAAAAAATCACCTGCTGTCGTCAGCGCGCGCTGCTGGGAGCTCGCCCTCTCTCGTTCCCCTCCTCCCTCCACTCTGGCAGCTCCTCCCTCCTCTGCTCCCGGGCAACAGCAGGATCTGGGGCCTTGGCGGGTTCAAGTCCCAAGCTTCTGACTACTTGATGTCCTTGCGCTGGGCGATTCACTCCAGGAGCCCGAGGCTCCTCTTTTGTAAAATAGGGCCAATCGTTGCGGGGGAGGAGTGTAATTAAATTTAAAAATATGGATGAAACTCCCAGTGAAATGTCTGTCCCAGAATATATGATTTAAAAGGGGGAGCTGCCATTAATGGTCAAAGTCACCAGGCTGTGTTTGAGCCCCGTTTGGCTGGCTGCTGATTCAAGCACCTGCCAGTCTTACCCACAGACTTTGCTCAGATGTGTGGGAATGGGAGGCCCAAGGCTGCTGGGCCAAGGCGTGGGCTGGAGGCCCAAGGCTGTTCCTTTCCTAGGCGATCCTTGGGAAGGGGTGTCTTAGACTCTTTCAAAAACCACCCAGTCCCTGTTCAGTCCGTTGGACACAGTGCGGGAGAGGTGGTGAAAAGAAGATTCTTGAAAGGGGCCTAAGTGAGGAGGTTGGTGGGGGCTTTCTGGAACATTCTAGCCCTTCTCCTATGCTCTTCTTCTATCTTGGAGGCATAATACATTTTGAAACCTGACAGACTCGGTTTGGCTCTAACACTATCTGTGTCACTTAGGCAAGTTGGGTCATCCCTGGGCCTCAGTCTCCTCATCTGTAGAATGGAGGAAATAATAACTGCCTCAAAGTGGTTTGTGAGGATAGTTAAGGAGTCAGAGCAGAAGCTTTGAGTCAATCAAATTTGCAGGGATTTAAATCCTGTATTTTGTAGCCCTTAGCTGCATGGCAATGGACAAATCACTGCAACTTTTTGACCCTTATTTCATTTATGAATGGGAGTACCAATACTGAACTTACAAGATAGTTACGAGAATTAAAATGAAATAATGCACTAAAAGTGCTTATCACAACATCTGACACATAGCAATGTCTCAATAAATGGTAGCCATTAGTATCCGAAAGGCCCACCGAGAAGACCATAGTGGGGCTTCCCAAGTAAGCCACTTGAACACCTTCTCCAGGAGAGCTCTTGTTCCTCCAAGTACCTTTTGGTCTCTCCTTGCTGTCTCTCCATTTATGTCTCCTGCATTGTCCTCCACTAGCTATACCTGCTGGCCTTCAGCTCTTTTTCTCTCCAATGTAGGCAGAGTTTTCAACATCAGTTAAGCTGGGAGTATTGGTGTTTCTTCTGGGGAAGAAAGTCATTAATGTGTTTACATTAGGAATTGATTGCAAAACACAGCTTTTTTTAAACCCTAAAATCAAATAGGATGAGATGACAGCTCTGATTAGTCAATTATTTGCTGAACTTCCTCCTACTTGGGTCTTTGCCTCTTGGTGATTTGATTTGAGTTCTGTAAATAAAATGATGCCTGGCACTGCTTTCCAGTCATTTAGAGTTACATTTCCATAAACAACATAATCTGGTCTGACACTTCCTCCCCCTAATCCTGTAGAACTCCCTGGGATTTGGCTGATGTCTCTTTAATAATGATTTCCAAAGATAAAAAGAAGGTCTAAAAATTGGAGGGGGGATGTCTGTTTTGAGAGTCATTGAGACTTTACCCTTTTTTCATTCAGCAAATCTAATTTCCTGATACCTGCTCTGTGCCTTGGGCACTGCGGGACACATATGAATTCTAGCTCTGCAGGAGCCCTCAAGTGTAGGGGTGTGTTATGGGAGGACTGAGAGACAGACACATAAGTAAATAATTAGCAAAGGGCATGGTCAGCATAACAGAGGTTAACACTGGTGCTGAGTGAATGACTAATGAGAGATGAGTAGGAGTACTCCCAGCAGGAGAAGTGTAAGTAAAAGTGTGCTAAGTAACTTTATCATAGCATAACCTTCCACATTTTTTCACTTGGGTTTTAAAACCACATTCAATTGTACAACCTCTTTGGAATATCCAGTCTATTCCAATCTATGGAGTAGACAAGTCTAATGGGCATTTGTTACATGGCTTGTTCAGCATCCGTTCTAGTGGTAACAGCGCCTCATTATTTGCCTTTGGAGAACCACTTCTCTCCAACTTTCAGACCATTTGGTTTGAGTGGGGTTAGTCCTACCCCACCTGTCTTTCAGGGGTGACTCACGTGGGTTTACCAGGGGACTACATCTCCCTGGCCAAAGTGACTGTTTAGTGATAGGCTTGAGATCCACATTGGACCAGTTACAAGAAATCCTAGACTTTAGCTGGAACTATCCTAAAGCCTCATTCTCTCTTTTTTACTGAAATTGCTGAAATAGGAGACCATGAAGTTATTTTTGTTGATGATCATCTTTGCTGTCACGGGGGTGAGGCTGCCTAAGGTTTAAGCAAACAGAGAGATTGGAAGAGGATATAGGATTCTGATGATGTCTATACCCCAAAGCCCATCTTCTTTTCTTCCTTGTAATAACAAAAGCCCCCACGTTTTAATTGGACTCTTAGTTATCCAGTCAGAAACTACATTTCCCAAACTTCCTTGCAGCAAAGAACAACCATATGTACTTCCTTCCTTCCATATGTCACTTCCTTAAAAGAAGTTGCTTGTGTTCAACTTTGTCTTTCTCCCCATAGAGTAGAATGCAGACATGGTAGGGGTGAGTTATCATTTGGGTGGTTAAGACAGTCGTTAAGAGTATGGTGTAGTGGTTAAGAATGTTCTAGAGCCAGGATTCAACCCTGGGGAAGGAAAGAGAGAAGAAAAGACAGAAGAAATCTGTCTTGGATGATCCCATGGGGCAGAGCTGCCTGAGCAGTCTTGTACTACCTGCTTACTGCTGGACTGTATGTGAGAAAGAAATAGACTGCTCTTTTGTTTGAACCACTGCTTTGGGGTCCTCTGTCTTAGTATTTTAGCTATTTAAATATGTGACTCTGGCCATGTATGAACAAATTTGAGGTACGTGAACACAGCACAGAAATAAAACACTAGCAAATAATACCATGTTAGGATGAGAAGGAGAGATCAGAGTTTAAAATATTCTAAAACCCTTATTTGTTTGTGAGGAGAGTAGAAATATTAACTTATTACCTTAAAATGTTTATTAACCTAAAAATTCACATTTTTTTTTTTTTTTTTGACAGAGTCTTGCTTTGTTGCCCTGGCTAGAGTGAGTGCCGTGGCATCAGCCTAGCTCAGAGCAACCTCAAACTCCTGGACTCAAGCAATCCTTCTGCCTCAGCCTCCCGAGTAGCTGGGACTACAGGCATGTGCCACCATGCCCGGCTAATTTTTTCTATATATTTTTAGTTGTCTGATTAATTTCTTTCTATTTTTAGTAGAGACGGGGTCTCGCTCTTGCTCAGGCTGGTCTAGAACTCCTGACCGTGAGCGATCCACTCGCCTCGGCCTCCCAGAGTGCTAGGATTACAGGCGTGAGCCACCGCGCCTGGCCTAAAAATTCACATTAAAGAAAATGGAATAAAAAAACTTTATTAAGGTCAGAAATAAGCAGAAACTCACATTCAAAAATAACATGAATTTTTGACTTATCTGTGGTTTCACAAAAATTACTCTAAAAAAATTTGAAAGATAATCACAAAGCCAAAATGTGCATTTGTGAGGATGTACCTTCACAGTAAATATAAAGCAAGAAGTGTCAAAGTGAAATGTTGGAGATATCAACTTTCAAACTCAATACTTAAGGAAATTGGATATTCCATACTTAATAACCTATAGACTCCTAAAAGAAATGAATGTTAAGAATCCTAGAATCTTGGAATTATAGAATATTTTTCTTAACCTCTTTTTTTTTTGATTGGTTGTTTTTGCAGATTGTTATGGACTGCATGTTTTTGTCCCCCCAAACTCATATGTCAAAACCCTAACCCTCATTGGAATGGTATTAGGAGGTGGGCCTTTGGGAAGGTAATTAAGTGTAGATGAGATCATGAGCGTGGAGCCTCCACGATGGGAATGGTGTCCTTATAAGAAGAGAAAGAGTCAAGAGCTCGCTCTCTCCACCATGTGAGGATATAATGAGACTACCTGCCAGCACCCTGATCTTGAACATCCCAGACTCTAGAACTGTGAGAAATACATGTTTGTTCTTTAAGCATCCAGTCTATGATGTTCTGTTATAGCAGCCCAAACTAAGATACAGGCTAAAAAATTCTTCCTTTTATTGAACCAGAGTAAGAATTCTTGCAATTTCCATCTTTCCTAGGACCACCATATGACAGCATTTTAAAGACATATCTGAAAACAGCTATTATATCCCCGGATCTCTTCTC